CTCACCGGACTTCGGGGGGTAGCGGTAGGCCGAGTTCGCCTGGATGTCGATGTCCTCCACCCCCGCGATGCGGCGGCTCAGGATGGAGCCCATGGTGCGCGGCGCTGCCGGGCCGGGGCCGGGACGGGGGCGGCGGCGGCGGTGCCCTCACGCGGACATGACCCGGACCACACGGACGCTGGTCCACGGCCGCGGCGGCGCCTCGGCTCCGAGCCCCCACCCCCGGCTCGGCCCGGGCCGGACGCCGCGGCGGCCCTCCGCCCCCGGGCCCGGGGCACGCCGGGAAATGGAGTCCCGGGGCCGCCAAAGGCGCCGGGCGCGGCACGGGGAGCCCGCCGCGGAACTACATTTCCCAGGATGCTCCCCGCCCAGACCCTGACGCGCTGACTCCACTCCGGGAGGGACCAAGTGGACCGAAATCCGGGGAGAAGGACCGCAAATTGTCCTTCCCTCCGCGTTCCAAGCGCAGCACTAACATCTTAACTCCTTAGTCTCTTCATAATCTGTCCATATATAGACAGTGCCAGGGCCCCAACGCCTTCCACCTACCCTCGCTCTGAAATATCTCCCTAGCCACTGTGGTTCCCCCCACTTCCCATGGTTTGCCCCCTGCCCGGACCAGCAGAGGGCACACACTCACCTGCCGCCCCGAAAGAGGGGGTGGGACCCAGGCTCACCTGGAGCGGTGCGCACGGAGGAAGCCAGGCACCTGCTTTAGCCTTTGCCAGCACTCAAGGCCTCTCTCTGGCGCCACGTCCAGAGCAATTGCGTTGAAGACAATTTTACAAATTGCCATTGAAGGCAGTAGACCTCTCCCTATTTTACACACAGGGAAACTGAGGCACAAAGGAGGGAGGGCTGCATACAATGTGCTGAAGACAATTTTGCAAGAATTAAGGTCAGGATCAAAACCTGGCCGTTTGCAAGGTATTTCCTGGCTCTCGACTCACACACAACTCTGTAAGCAGGGACCAAGCAGAGGTCGGTTTTTACCTATGTTTCAGTTGAGGAACTGGGATTCCGAGAAGAGTGATTTCTCAAGTCAAGCTTGCTGTACCAAGAAAGCGGTTAGGGAGGGCAGCCGCAGGCCAAGTGCCTCTGATGGTAAATTCACCACGGTCCACGTTAAAATATATTCTACACCTTTTCAGGGGCCAGAATCCAGGATCCAACCTTCCTATTAGGAAGCCAAATGAATAACAGAGATTAGGGACTTGCGTGATTATCAGGAGAGTCCATGTCTTGGGGTGCCTGATTAAATCTCTCTGTCCCCCAACCAAAATCCACATTTACTGAGCACTATCATGTCGTCACGCTTAGGCTTTGCACATACTCTTTCATTTAATTCTCTGACATAGGTTCTATTTTCACTCCCATCTGACAGAAGAAGAAAGTGAGGCTCAGAGAAGTGAAGTATCTCATTCAGATTGCATAGCAGGTAAGTGGTACAGCTGGAATCTGAACTAGGCCACTGCTCTTACCTCTGCACTTTCTGGCTTCCCCAGAGACATGCTCCAATGTGCCAGATTTCAAGTCTCTTACCCCGAAAGGATGGGCCTGAGGACATTCCTATTGAGTGTGATCTCTCTTCCCTTAAATCACATAATGCAGGTACACGGACATACCAATACCCCATTCAATTTACTGCCCTCACTGTTTGTGGAGAGGGAGGGAGAGTCCAGAGGTTCCTGTGGTTCCCACTGAAAAACTGCACTAAGAGCACATGCTCCTTTTGGATCCTGGACCAGAGCAGTTGTTTTCACCTGCTGGATATTTGATTAATTATTCTTCTTAAGAGAGCCTTGGATTCGAGGTATCCTCAAAGCCCCTCCAGCAATTTTTCTGTTTATACACACCCAGGTAGAAGACAGGCCCTCCGTGATTTGGTCCAAGTTCCACTAACAACATCTGGGGTGATTCATTTATTTGTTCAGCAAATATTTATCACACAGCTACTATGTGACAGGTGATAAATATTTGCAGGTGATGAACCAGGCAACAGGCATCAAATGGTAGAACCCGCTAGACACCAGGTCTGCAGGATAGTGAGGAAACAGACACTAAAAAGTTTAACAAGTATATAGTGTGTGCTCTGGGGGACTGGACTGAGGTGCTATGAAATAATAGAGAAATACTATTGATAGAGGACTCCGGGAAGGCTTCTTTGAGGAGTTGACAGTTAAGGCAGGAGTTGAAATACAACTAACAACCAACCAGGCAGAATGTGAGGGGCAGGCTGCTCTAGGTTCTACACAGGGGTGAGCACATGAGCAAAAACCCTGAGGCAGGAGAGTACTGAGTATGGCCCAGGAGCTAAAAGGCCAGTGAGCTAGAATCAAGGGAGGGGGAGAGTATAGAATCAGAGGTCAAGAGCAAGGTGGGGGACAGATCTGAAGGCCCCTCAGTAAATACTGGATTCTTTGAAACATAAAGAAAGACCCTGGGGACAGCTCACGGCTTCCTGGTTTGAGTCTCACAAGTCTAGACTTCCTCTCAAGCCTCCTGAGGGGATAGGATCCTGGCCAATTTTTGTGTTCCCCAGTTGGTGTTTCATAAACATGTTGGTGGAAGGGTAGGAGTGAAGAAGAGGAGGCCACGGCATGTCACTGACAGATCATGTGCACTTTGGCAAAGCCCTCAACCTCTCTGGCCCTCAGGGAAGATAAGGGCGCTGGGGGAAATGCCTTCTCCTCCCCTCCCCCCCCATTTACAGTCAGGTCCCATTCCAGCCTGCAAGAAATCCAAAGTCCAATCTCCAGCCAGGCTGATCTTGGCTGAAAACAAAGTTGTTTTTTTGCTTCTGTGTAGCCCCTGGAAAAACAAGCCAGCTGAGGGGGTGAGGCACGGAGACCAGCAAGGTGACCTTTGCCCCCGCCAGTCCCATCTGCCCCACCCCTACCAGCCTACTGGCCTGGGAGATCTCCTTCAGGGCAGGTATCTGGGCAAGCCTGGGCAGGTATCTGAGTGGTACCAGGATGAGGGTGGGAGAAGGAGTAAAGGCACTCCTGCCTCCCTGAACAAGAAAAGCCCTCAGTGGGCCCTGCCAGGACAGTGCCCACCCTCCCTAACCAGAAACACACTCTGCTGGCCCACCAGGTGCCTCTTCTCCACAGGTTCTGAACATCAGGGAATTCCAACCTCAGTTCCTTTATCTGTAAAATGAGGCTTGAGCTCCCCAGAGTGGCCTAAATGGGGGCAAAGGGGTCAGAGTGACGGAACTGGTGTGCTGAGTTCCACACACTTCACAAGCATTAGCCCCCACAGTAGCGCTAGAAGAGCTCAGAGCTCTGGAAGTGAGGAACCGAAGCTCAGAGCTAGAGTAACTTGCTCAACACCACGATCAGTAAACTGTAGAATTAAGACTGACAACCTAGTCTGTCTGACCCCAGAACTTCCCCACCTCTACCATGCTGTGTTGCAGTTCCAATGATAATAATTATAGCAGTCACCATAGTCCAAGCTGCCTTTATTGTGTGCCTAGCCTGCGCTGAGCACTTTACTCACGTTAATTCACAAGTATGATGCTTTGCAAAGGTAAGGGATGTGATTCTCACCAAGAGCAAAAATCTCTTGGCACTATCAGAGTTTACAAAGAAAAAAGCCTGAGTGATACCCATCCAAGCAGGAAAGAGGCTTAAGCAGTATTTCCTGTGGTCAGGTGGCTTCTAACAGGGCTAAGGCACCCGATACTCAGTGATCTCTCCCTGCCCACGGGCCAAGCTCCCAGTTCTAGTCCTCAGAGGTGGATTCCACTGCTCCCTGACTCCCTTCCCTCCTTAACTCCTTCCCACCCTCACCCTCTCAAACCCAGGATGTTTCAGCCCTGTCCTCCAGTTACCCCATTAACGTCTTCCTGCCACCCCATGGGAAAGCCCCAGGTAGGGATGAAGGGCCCACCCAGGTAGCCCGACCTTGGCCCCCTCCCCTTTTCAATCCAATTCCACAGGTAGGGGCACCCTCTCCTGGAGCCAGACACACCCAGAATATCCTCTGATTCGGACTGGACTTCATCACCATCTGGTCCCCACACTGCCACAGCCACAGTACCCCTAATGCGAACTAGGATGGGACCTACTAAAACACTTCGATGGCCCTTAACCCATCCCACGTCTGTGCCTGCTTCCTTAGGGCATTTTCCATATTTGCAGTACTACATTTGTCCTTGGGATTCCTGCCATTCGCTCCCCCAGCGACGATGGCACAGCCACCCACCCCGGTTTTGTTCCCCTGTACTCCCAAGTCAGGTCAGGGCCGGGCACAGAGTAAGGGCCCAACAAATAGTGGCTCGACAAATGGATCTGGGGCCAGGAGGCGCAAGGAACTGGGCCAAGGTCACTCAGAGCAGGAGCAACCCGGCCTTGCCACCCCGAACAGCTCAAAGACACCCCGGGCCCCACTAGCCAACCCGCGACGTCAACCGGAAGCCACATGTGCGGGGCTGTAAACACAGCCCGCAACGCCCCGCCCCCGCCCGCCACGTGACGCGCCCCCGCCTGAGGACCCAGCGCCCGCCCCCGCCGCCGCCTCATTGGGCGGCCAGCTTTGTTTACCTTATATGGCCAGGTCCTAACACCCTGAGGCTACCCATTGGTCGAGGCGCGGCCTCACTCAGCTGACGTCACCCAGGACAAAACGATGCAAATAAACCAAGGCACTCTGGGAATGGGAGTTCTGGGCCGCTCCGGAACTGGCTCCGCGGGGTCCTAGCGCCCGCCTGTGAAGGCCGGGATTCCCGGCAAAGAGCACGAGAGTTTGCGTGGGAAAGTGGGAGTACTGCCGCGAGCAGGACCCCGAGGCACCCCGAGGACGCCGGCCCGTCCCGGGCGCCATCCTTTCCCGAGACTGTGTGCGGGCCTACTGTGTGGCAGGCCGGGAGCCAGGCTTGGGGAGGGCCCGCACCTCGGGTGGGTGATGCGTGACTAAACTGGGGAGATCCGGGAGGCTGCCTGGAGGCGGTGGCTTGGAGCAGAGCTTTGCAGGGCAGACTTACTCATTCCCTGAACTAGAGCTTGCGTGCTGGCGCCCACTGCGCGCCAGGCTCCACGGGAGCGCCTGCTTGCCCCAGCGCGACGCCGAGCGCCGCGGGCCCCGGGGCCCCGGCCTTGGCCCGGCCTCCCCGCCTCCGGGACTACAAGTCCCAGCATGCGCGGCGGCCGGCGCGAGGCGCGGCGCGGTGAGTCAGAGCGCACGGTAAATATTTGTATTAGCCGGAGCCGGCTCGCTAATGGTGGACGCGTGAGGCGCGGCCGGGCGGCGAGGGCGGCCGGAGGGCAGCGGCGGCGCCATGTCCGTGAACATGGACGAGCTCAAGCACCAGGTCATGATCAACCAGTTCGTGCTGACGGCGGGCTGCGCGGCCGACCAGGCGAAGCAGCTGCTGCAGGCGGCCCACTGGCAGTTCGAGGTGCGCGGCCGCGGCCGGGCTGGGCCGGGTGTCCGCGCGGGGCCGCGGGCGGGTGGGCACGTGTGGCCGTGCGCCCTCGGGCCGGCCGCGGCCGCGACCCGCTCTCCCGACAGTGCCGGCGGCGTCCGGGCCCGGGGCTCGCGGCGGGCGGGCGGGTGGGCTGGCTGCGGAAGTGCCGCGGGGCCCCGAGCCCCCGGCGGCCGAGACGGGTCCCCCTTTTGTCCGGGTAACGGCCGAGGCTGGGCGGCGCCGCGGACGGACAGCCTGGCGGGCGGGCGGCCGGAAGGAGGACGCCCCAGGCCGCGGCCGAGCGGGGCCGAGGGCGGGGCCGCCCGCGCGTGGGGCCCGGGGTCGGTGCGCCCCGGGGGGCGGCGGGCGCGTACGCGGACATGTGCACTTGTATTTACGCACGCCCCGCGCCACGGCGTCAGCGGGGCACCCGGGCTGTGTACGTGTGGGCATGTTGGCGCGTGTGTGGACGCGCAGTCCGCCCGCTGCGTCTGGTTCCGCTCAGCGTGTACACATGTGGCTGTTTGCGGGTGGTGCGGGTGCCCAGTACAGGGTGGGCTGTGGGTACACGGAGCGGGCGGGTGGTGGGTTGGGGCCCCACACTACAGCGTGGGGGTGTGCGTGTGTGTACCCCGCTCCAGAGGCGCGCCTGGGGAGTCCACGTGTGTGTCCGGGTGCCCTCGAGGCTGGCAGGGGAATCTGTGCCAGAGAGGTGTACGCGGTTCACTAGCTTTCGGGCTAGCCGGGCAGGAGGTGGGGCTGTTCTAGTCTGGCACCCACTCCCCCAGGCCTACACTGATCCATAGGGCTGTAGTGCCCATGGTGTGTGCTGCCAAGGGGCACCCTGGCCCTTCCTAATTCATAGACCCCAGAAATAACACGGTGGTAATATTTAGGGGTGGGGCCAGACCCTCAGGTGTAGGGTTACGCCATCAGCCAGTCTGGTAGTGTCTGTGCCCAGCTAGGGCCCAGGATCCTGATTTCTCAATGGGGAACCATCCTAGGGAAGGTGTTTGGGCCTGCAGGAGGGACTGGGAGCCAGAGGGCTCTGGGGCTCAGCCCCCTGGGTATGGGATGGGGATCAGAATGCCCCAAACTTGGGACAGACTGAGGAGGCAGCGGCCCTTCCACTCGGAGGAATCCATCCTTTCCTCCTTGCCCACCGCCTTCCTAGCAGAGATCTTAGTAGCACTGAGCCTGGGCAGTCTTCATCCCAGGAGATGGAGGCTGCTCTTTCTGGTCTCAGTTTCCTCTACTGTACCTGGGGGGCAGAAGTGTGAGTCAGCCTCTAATGGCCAGCTCACAGCCCCCTCCCCCCAGGCAGCCCCACCCTGAGAAGCTCCCAGCTCCCCACCTAACAGCCCTGTTTGTCTCAAGGGCTGGATGTGGCAAAACTTGCAAAACCACATTCGTGGCAGTCTGCTTGAGTCCCGCATCTGCATACGGGTTCCCTCCCTACCTAGGGCAGGGCAGGCAGGTGTCCAGTGGGAAGTGGGCCCTGCCTACAGAACTCAGCCCAGCCATCAGAGCCTGACACCCAGCTGGCACCCAGGCTGTGTCCCTCAGGCGGCCCAGGTGAATCGAAAAGGCAGCTTTGGGCTGGGCGTGGTGGCTTATACCTGTAATCCCAGCACTTTGGGAGGCTGAGGCAGGAAGATTCCTTTGCCTGGGCCCAGAAGTTCGAGGCTGCAGTGAGCTATAATCGAGCCACTGCACTCCAGCCTGGGGAACAGACTCTGTCTCGAAAAAAGAAACCAAAAACCCAGCTTTGAAAATTGAAATGTCTGGGGCACAACTAACCTGGGGGGCTCTGGTGGCCCCCACAGTCAGGAGCCCTATGCCCTCAGCTCATGTAAGGTGGCTATACCTCAGGCTTCTTCATGGGAGTGGGAGAGGGGTTCATCATGGAACCCATCCCCCTCTGTGCTCTCCTACCGCTGCCGGTGTTTCTGGGTCACATTCTCTGTGATTCAGGTGCTAATGGGGGCAGAAGGCTGCAAGGGGAGGGGCCTCCGTCTAGTGGGGGCAGATGTTTCTCAATGGAGAACTCACATGGTGGCCTGTAGAGGGGAGCATCCGGGCTGTCGCCTGGAGCTCCTGGGTGGGGTTTGCAGAGTGGGCCTGGGCTGTGGGGAGCAGCCCCTGCTGCCAGAGGGTCTTGGGGTCAGGGAGGCGCTTAGACAGACACCAGCACTCATGCCTGAGCGCCCCTACTCGTTTGGGGACACCTGGGTAGGGTGTCTCCATCAGGAAATGCCCAGGATAATTTATTTGAATTTACAGAAAAATAAAACCCCCGAGGGCAAGCCCTGGGAGCCTGGCCAGGGTTTCTGAGTGTGTTGGGGCAGGGGAGGGGCCAGTAAGTCACTAACGCAGCCAGGCCTGGGACTTGGCAAGGCCCTCAAGGACCCCTCACACACTTGCAGGGCTCCCTCACCCAGCACTTTGGCAAGAGCAGCCTCATTTCCCTCCGACACCCCCTCTGCAGGGGCCAAGCCAGGACACACCAGATGCCAGCACCTCCCCCCAGGGCCGGGGAACCAGCTGAGCTGACAGGCAGCGCCTGGGCTGGTCTGAGGCCTGGAGTCACTGTCTGGGGTCTTAACCCCACCTTTGCCTTTTGCTGACCAAGTAACCCAGAGCAAATCACTTTGTCCCTCAGTTTCCCTGTCTGTAAAACGGGTGGTGCCAATTCCTGCTCTGGGGTTAATGACGATACATGCTGCCGCTTGATGTGGGCACCTTGCTCAGTGTGGCATGTGGCAGTGGCACGGCTAGTAGCAGGCAGCCAGGGAGCTCTGTGGGAACAGTTGTACGTGGGGTGATGGGCTCAGTCCGGGGGCTGCCTTCCTGCTCCGCCACTTAGAGAGCATCCACGGGAGGCTCAGGTGGGTCAGTGAGTGAGTGGAAAACTCAGACACTCCTATTAATTCTAGGCTCTCCTGGCTGGAATATGGTAATTTTAGGAGGTCACTGTTGCTAAAGAGGGGAATCTGGAAGCCACCTAGTCCAGTCTGTGTTATAGATGGGTAAACTGAGGCCCAGACAGACCACTTAGTTAATCTAAGGCAGAGCTGGGTAGAGAAGTAGGTCTGCACCCTCCAGGCTCAGACTCCTTCCTTAAGGTCCCCCTGGTTCACAGATGAGGAAACAGAAGCTCAGAGAAGAGTCAGGACTTGCCATCTATTGAGGTGGTGACAGAGCCAGGTTAGACTCTGCCGAATCAGAGGTTTAGGTCCAGCTGGGCTACTTAGGAGCCACAGTTTTTCTCATGAGACAGGGTGGGGGCATTCCCTCCCCCATCATGGCGACAATGCCAGGTATGCACAAGGAGTGGGCTCTGCAGGCTGTTGGCAGGTGGCAAGCAGTGAGAGACATGAGGGTCTCCACCACCCATCTGAACTGCCTGAGTGCCCTGGCACCTTCCTGGGCACTGGAGGGTTGGGTGGTGACAGGCACACTTCGGCCCCAGCCCCGTCAACTCACCCTCCTGCTGGGTGATCAGGCTAGGGTTGCACCAAGCCCAGAGGAGCCTGGGAACAGGGCAGCCGTAGGGCTGGCCGGGTCCTGGAGGGTAAGTGTGGGCCTTTCTCCCTGCAGACTGCCCTCAGCGCCTTCTTCCAGGAGACCAATATTCCCTACAGCCACCACCACCACCAGATGGTAAGTGTCCTCTGGAACCCCAAGGGGTCGCTCATGGGGCCCCAGTTCTGGGCCGGGGGGGGGGGGAGGCTGAGGCAATTCACACAGCACAACAGCCTTGGCCCAGGTGGAGGTGGTCGCATGGGCCAGACCTGCTTGGAGATGGGCCATCAGGTGTCCGGGCTCAGTGGGCGTCCTGGATTCAGCTCCCGTGGGACCTGGGCAGCACTGGCACAGCCTCGTGGCCCCAGAGCCAGTGTGGACAGAGGCTGTGCCAGAGTGTGGATCTGTAGCCGCCCCCACCCCTGCCAGGGAGGCCGGATCAGCTGCCTCAGTGCCTTTCCTCTGTGAGTCCCTGGGTGGTGGACCGGCCAGCTGGTGGGGCAAGGATGCTGCTCCCGTGGTGCCTGGGGAAGGGACACCGTCTTCCCAATAACGGGCCCGCCATGTGTCGCCTCTCCGGAGGCAGTGGGGGACCTGAGGGGGCTCTTGCAGAAAGGGGTGCTCACTCCCTCTCTCCATTCTTCCCCCACAGATGTGCACTCCTGCCAACACCCCTGCCACGCCCCCCAACTTCCCTGACGCCCTCACCATGTTCTCCCGTCTCAAGGCCTCCGAGAGCTTCCACGGTGGCGGCAGTGGCAGCCCGATGGCCGCAACAGCCACCTCGCCCCCACCGCACTTCCCCCATGCCGCCACGGGCAGCTTCGCGGCACCCAGCTGGCCAACTGCGGCCTCGCCCCCTGGGGGCCCACAGCACCACCAGCCACAGCCACCCCTGTGGACTCCGGCACCCCCTTCTCCGGCTTCAGACTGGCCACCCCTGGCCCCCCAACAGGCTGCCTCAGAACCGAGGGCCCACCCTGCCATGGAGGCAGAGAGATAAGGGAGGCCCCTCCCCCCTCCCGGAGGCCAGGACCCCGTGGGGCGGGGGAGAGGACGTCTCCACGGGCCCCCTTTACCCCTTCTCTGTCTGCACCCCTGTTCCCCAGAGCCCTGGAGAGGAGACCGGACTCTAGCCAGGCAGGGGCTGTCTTGTGTCAGCATGCACAGCTGCACGCACACGAGTTCGAAGCACCCAGCACGCTTGGGTTTGGTTCACAGCAGTTTGGGTGCCTGGTGGACAGAACTTCAGAGACCAAACAGCCTTCCCTCGAGGACTCACCTGCCCAGCCCAGCCCAGGGGGTGCTGCCGAGAAGCACCCGGCGGAGACGATGCTGGCTCCTGACTCAGAGCTCCGTGGGGCCGGCAGGCCCAGATCCCCACCCTGGAGGGCGCAGAGCCTTCTCCGCATGTGTGCGTGTCGCTGTGTCTGTATTTATACGTATGTCGCTCTTCAGAACGCAACCTAGCGCATGGGGCAGCTGGACTTTGCATGTTAGAGTGAGCCCCAGGCCCTTACCCGCCGCCCCTCCCAGGGCCCTGCCTCACCCCGCCCCTCGTCAGCCAGCGCTGCCCCTGCAGAGAAAAGGATCATGGGAAACTCCAGGACCCTTCCCACCCACCCCAGCGCCTGCCTGCTGGGGCTGCCTGCATGCCTTCCCAGAGCCCGGGGGCACCGATATCCATTTCTTTTCCCCTTTTAACAAAAGAGAAGAGAATTCCAAACCAGCGCCAGGCTCTGTGGTCTTGCCTGTACCCTAGGCTTTGCTGCCAGCAGGCCTGGTCTCCCAGCTGCACACTGCTGCCTGTTGTGCTCTTTCAAACCACAATGCTCTGGAATCTTCCTGCCTACCCGAGGTTTTTCCCATGAAGTTAGTTTCTGGCCTGTGTTGCCAGATGTCCAGCCTGTGTCCACCTACCCCTACCCCTTAGCTGGACAGGTCTGCCCCCTAGATGGGCGAGCAGGGCCCACAAGTGCCTTCCCCAGTTTCACATCAGGGCCTTTCTTGGTCATGGTTCCTGGGGTGGCTGCAGGCTGGGCCTCTGCCTTAGCCTCCAGCACACATGGCAGGATGGCCCAGGGCCTTTGGGGCCAGGTGGCAGGTTGGACACAGAGGCAGTGGGGCTGAAGAGGGCAGGGCAGCGTCCGGCCTGGCAACCTGGGGAGTAGGCAAGTCCCAGGCTCCGCTGGGGCCACCTTATGAGAAGCCACCCTCAGTCTACACCCTTAGGGGCCTGGGCCCATGGGTTCAGCTTGCAGCTCCTCACAGGCAAAACTCACTTCCCAGTCTACGGTTAGGGTAGCACCGGAGTTTCCCTATTTCGAGAGGTCGCCCATTTGCCCAGCATCCAGCACTGCCCATCCACCTTTCCTGCTCTCATGCCCAGGATCACCTATGCTTCCTTCCTGCAGTGCCAGCATCTGCCCAGCTGGAACCTGCACAGGCTCTGCTGACAAAGCCCTCCTGGGACAGCTGTTCCCTGGCTGGGTGTCACTGGACTGGCTGTCAGGATCCCTGCTTGAGCTGCTGCTTATGTGCACCTTGACACCCACCTTCTGGGCAGCCCACCCTGGCCGGCCCTCTGTGCCTGGTGTGCTGGTGCAGCAGCAGCAGAGGAGGGAGCAAGCAGGCAGAATGGGGGTGGGGCAGCCCCAGCTTCCATAGCCTTTGCAGCTTCTCTGTTTTTTGGGGTGGAAGAAATTCTCAGGAAACTGCCACAGCTGCCTTCTGTGGTAGGAGAAATGCTTTGCAGACAGGTGTGTTGGGGTGATCTGCTGTGTGGGGTGAGTGCCAGGGCTGTCCCAGCAGGCAGATACAGAGGTGGCTGTACTTAGCAGCTACCCAAGATGGCGCAGGGTCTAGGATTCTGCACAGTGGGAGGCTCTGGAGTGCTAGTTCTGGTTCATTAAACACCAGTGGGCCCTTGGGATGGCCTGTAGTGGACCACACCCTTGCTATTTGAAGTGTGGGTCCTGGACATGCATGGTGGCTCAAGCCTGTAATCCTAGCACTCTAGGAGGCTGAGGTGGGTGGATTGCTCAAGATCAGGAGTTCGAAACCACCCTGAGCAAGAGCAAGACCCCATCTCTACTAAAAAAATAGAAATGAATTGGCCAACTAAAAATATATAGAAAAAATGAGCCGGGCATGGTGGTGCATGCTTGTAGTCCCAGCTACTCAGGAGGCTGAGGCAGAAGGATTGCTTGAGCCCAGGAGTTTGAGGTTGCTGTGAGCTAGGCTGATGCCACAACTAGCCTGGGCAACAGAGTGAGACTCTGTCAAAAAAAAAAAACAACTGTGGGTCCTAGGCCAGCAGCATCACCTGGGAGCATGTTAGACACGCAGGACCTCAGACCCCTGAGTCAGACTCTAACAGGAGCCCCTGGTAAAGTTTAGGGAATGTCCTATACAACATCTTTACTAAATGCCAGAGGTGAGGCTGTGCCACCAAGCCTGTCTCTGTGTGCTGGGCCTGGAGGTCTCAGGGGTCACATTAAGGGGGAGGGGACTGAGGTTCCTGTAGGTTCCTTTTTGAACATGGGCACTGTTGACATTTGGGGCTGGATCATCATCCCTGCAGTGGGTGCCATCTTGTGTGTGTAGGATGTCAGCAACACCCATGAACCCTGCACTGCTCACTCGACGCAGTAAGTAGCATCCCCCAGCGGTACCAATAAAAAACGTCTGTTGAGGCCAGGTGTGGTGGCTCACGCCTGTAATCCCAGCACTTTGGGAAACTGAGGTGGGAGGATTGCTTGAGGCCAGGAGTTTGAGACCAGCCTGAGCAACATAACAACCCCATCTCTACAGAAATGTGAAAATTAGCCTAGGCACGTGCCTGTATTCCCAGCTACTCAGGAGGCTAAGGTAGGAAGATCCCTTGAGCGAGGAGTTCATCCTGCAGTGAGTTATAATGGCACCACTGCACTCCAGCCTGGGCATCAGTGAGACCCTTGTCTTAAATGCAGACATTGCTAGTGTCCGCTAGAGGCACGGTGGCCCCCATGGAGCACCCCTGCCCCAATCTTGTGCTCCCCATACCTGGCTGCACAGCACAGCCTCCTGGGAATGAAAAAACAGCAAACCGCAGGTCCCTGGGCCTGGCCGCATCGGCATCTCTGGGGAGGCCCTAATGTGTGGCCGTGAACGCTGCTGGGAGAGATCGTGGTCGATCTCGGACTTCGGTGAAACTCACTTGATGGTACACTTTAGAAAGGTGCACTTTGCAGTGTATCAGTTATGCCTCACAGCTGCAATTAAAAATAGAGCTCCCAGGTGATGCTGACCTAGCAACCCAGCACGTGCCCCCATGGTGACTGGCAGTTACCACCCTCACAGGCCCCAGACTTTGGGTTCCCTGGTGCTTGCTAAACACTCAGGTTCCCAGCCTCCCCTGAGGCAGCAGTTCTCCAGGAGGGTCACAGAATCTGAGTTTTGGTAAGTGCCCCAGGCAAGGTGGGGACCTCTGGAGTGCTCAAGGATGCTTGGGGAGGACAGGGCTGGGGCTGGGGCCTGGGAACTCAGTGTTTCCAGCAGATGCAAAGGCCCTGCCCCGTGTGACTAGAGCCTGTGTCTGGGAGCATCTCGCAGGCGGGGGAAGGGGGTCACACAGGCAGGGACTCCCTCAGAGCAGGAGGTGGGCCTACGAAGATCCCATGTGCCCCAGAGCTTGAGTGTGATGCGAAGAGCCTGGAACCTTCAAATGCAAGACTCCAGGAGCCAGTGACAGCTACTACACGTTCAGGTGTGGAACAGCTAAGACACAAAGCTGCTGATGGACTCAGAGGACTGGCTTGTTTACGGGTCTGTCCTGGGAGCTGCCTGAGTGACAAACAGGAAGCCAGCCTTGTCCCTTTAAAGTCCAGCCATAGCTTTTGACCGTTTCCTAAATTCCACTTAAAAAGCACCACTTGCATCCGTGAGGTTGCTCAGCAGCCCGTGGGAATGAGGGCCTGGCCCCGCCAGGTGACAGAGGTGGACGGATGTGCCTTTCTGGCCTGCGGTTTGGGGGAGCACGTTATCTTAGAGGTTTGCAAACCTACAGTGCCCAGTGTGTGCTGTTTGGCTTAAACACAATGTTTACTTTAAAATATGTTTGCTAACATTTTAAAATCCGGAGGGTTGTCTACAGCCATGTCATCCTGAGCTCTCCTGATGTCGTCCGATGTCGGAAGCTAAAATCTGGAGGGTTTATGTGAAAAGCCTTACCTAACCTTGGCAAACTGGAATATCTGGCCCCAATTCCCTCAAAGCCACCACTGGCTGAAGCGGACTGTCCCGCTGGGGACACAGCCTGGCCTACCCCTGCCAGCCCGAGCCCACTGTGCGCCACCAGCCACCAGGGATGTGCGCAAGTCCAGCTCCTGCCTTGGAGGCGGCTGGAGTCCCGGGAGGGGTCTCACTTCTCACCACAGGAGCTGCCGGGTGTGGGCGGGCACCTGGCTGGATGCGGGCGGGTGGGCAGGCAGGGCCCTGTCTACAGACAGCTTTAAAAGAGACAGGCTTGTTCTGTGAGGTTCTCTTGGACGAGAGGGACACTCCAAGAGCCACTGGGTGTCCCCAGGGTCTTTTCCGTGGTCCAGCCAGGGTTCTCTGAGCACACATTGTGGCCAGCGGTGGAGAACCAGGCTGTCCCTGAGGCTGGCTGCAAGGGCGGACCCCAGACATGGGTAGGTGGGGCTGCTGTGGCCCTGGAGGTCTCTGAGGGGCTTTTCACAGCAGTCCCTGGCACCACACAGAGGACAGATGAGTCTTTTGACTGGGGTCTACCTCCCAGCAAGGGGAGGCCTCATGGGGTGGCCAAAATGGCGGTCTTTTGAAGCAAGCCTATTTCTAGCTCCTGCATTCAGAAAGGTCTCTGATTTCTAAGCCACAGCTTATAATTGGGCAATGTATGCATTTCAAGTGAGCCTTAAAAGAACACAGCTGTTTTGGGGAGGGGGAGTGCCAAGTCTTTTGGTGGAGGGCAGGAGTTGGGGGACACTGCCAGGGTGACCAAGGCTTGCCTGTGGCACAGCAGGAGGCACTGGGAGCCTGTTGGCGAAGTTCTGCCCTGCATTCTGTGGCTTTTCTCACCTCCTGGGGAGTAACACAGTTGCAGACCCTGGTGACAACACAGCGAGGAAGGGGCAGGGTGGGGAGAGAAACCCTCCTCTGGCAGCTAAGTTTGTGTTTGCAAGGTCTCTGCCTACAGCCCCCAAATCCATGGAGAGTCAGAGGTCAAGCCAGCCAAGATGATGGCGAAGGGGGGTGTGCAGCGCATGGTGATTCCAGGGTCCCTAAGGAGTCCCTGCACGGAAGGCCCTTCCCGCCAGTGCCTGCGCCGCCACCTTCAGCTGTCTGCCTGCGGGCACTGCTGGTGCCTTTTGCTGTCAGTTGCGTTCAGTGACCTGCATCGGTGGGTTAGGGTTAGGGTTAGGGTTAGGGTCCGGGTCCTTTGCCCGCATCGGTGGTTGTGAGCTGCGTGGCGGTGCAGGTGGTCTCCACGCAGCGTGTCCGCTCCAGCAGCACCTGCGCTGGGCCCCTCTGCTCTGCAAGAAGCCTCTCCCCCACCCTGCCTGGTGTCCAAGCAGCCGCTCTCACACCCCTGCCCACCCGATCCTTTCATCTGTCTGAAAAGTGAATGTCTGATGTCCTGGGAACCCCTCTCACTGCCAGGCAAACCACAACAGCTGGGCAGCCCATTCCGTGTCCAGCCTGGCCTTGCTGCTGTATCCCAGGCCAGGAGTTGTCCCCTTGTGGATGAGGAGGCTGGGCCCAAGGCCTTCTGAAAGCTCCCTCTCCTGGCCTCATCCCTGGCTCCACCTCGCCCCCAGCTGTCTTCCAGCCCACAGGGCAAGCCCCCTCCTGAGGCCCCTACCCAGGCCCCCCACCAGAGGGTGCAGCCCCCCCTTCTGCTTCCAGGCCTGCAGCAGCCCTCTATGCTGGGGGAGGGGTGGTTCTGCCACCGTTCTCAGCAGGGATTCTGCCTGTGGCTCTCACCTGGGACTAGGCCAAAGGCCACCTTGACCCCCTCCCCCACCCTGGGAAAGCACTGTCTTCTTCCAGGATTGCTCCCAGCTGGCCTGCTGTGGGGCTTCAGCCCCACCTCCCAGAGCACCCAGGAGGCCTGCAGGAATGCCAAGACCCATGGGCCCTCCTCACTGCCTGACTCAACCACCTGAGACGTGGGCTGGGAAGGTGGCTTTGCAGGAGCCAAGCGGGGACAGACGTGAGGGGCGGAGGTCCCTGGGTATTGCATGTCCACTACAGCCTGGCCTGTGTGTGTCCAGGAGCCCCCACCTCCCCTCCCAGTTCAGCGACGGGGCACACCACCCGCAGTGCAGGAGGAGGCGGAAGTCAGGCCCCTCAAATCTAGCAGGTTCGGCCTCCTGGGTGGGGGCCAGAGAGTTGGGCCTCGCTTGTCACCCTGGGCCTGTCCCCCCTCCACTCCGGCCCACAGACTGAGCCTGGGGTGGTGGCCATAGGAGGGTCAAGTCGAACCTGAACACATACAGAGCACCTGGCCTGTCCCCTCATCCACAGTTTAAAAAGTGGAAGATTTTACTCTGGGCAAAAGTTGTCAAAAATATTCATCTTTGATACAGGGATGGGGCTGGGGCTGGGCAGACAGCTGGGACAGGTAAGTCACCGGGCAGGAGGGGCTCGGCCTCATTTGGACAGAGTCTTTGGAGAAAGAAAAGAGCAGTCAGGCTGGGGTGGGTGCGGTGAGAAGCTGAGCAGGGGCTGTGGGGCCACAGGAACAGCGCAGGCGTCCCCACACTCTGAGGCCACCACGGCCTGGGAGGAGTCTAGAGTCCCACCCTCCCCAGGGCAGCCAGAGGGGAGTGAGCGGCCCCTCTCCAGCTCCCTCCTGGCAGCTGTGCCCACGCCCACCTGACCCACCCAGGCATCTAGTGCCCACGGGGCGGGGGCTGCTTCCAGCCTGTGCAACAGGGATGGTTTTAGTCTGCGAAATGGGACAGGACTGTCACTAGGACAAAAAGAGCAAAACTGGAGGTGGAGGCAAAAAGGAAAGAGGAAGCGAGACTGAGAGAGGAAGGGGAGGAAGTTGAGCCAGAGGTTCAGCAGCCCCAGGGGGTGGGCCTGCTCTGTGTCCCACGGCTGGTCACTGGGTCTCCACAGCACGACCGACCGGGACCTCACGGTTTGCTCTTTTCCCACCAAACCTGTGGGCGGCGAGCTCAGAAAGCGGAAAGACTCCCAACAGGCTCCCAGTGGCCCAGCCCGGGCAGCACAGAGCCGCGGCGGGGCATCCAGGCCCTCACGCCGGTCTCCCCAAGATTAGCCAAGAAGTAAATACAATCAGATTTCGTTAACTATCCGATGTGTAACAGTAATTACTGGTAGAAATTACTCGAAGTAAAAAAGATGCCTGTGGTAAAATTTGTTCTCAGGGGAAAATTGGTCTTCATAGAAATAACGGCCCCCAGATGAAATGCACGGTGGCAAGTAGCTGCAAGTGGAACAGATTCTGGTGCAGTCATTTCAGCAAATAAAAAGGAAAGTGTTTCTAAAACCACTTTGTGTTGTATTGGAAATTGGTCAATGAATTAACTTGGCTTGGTGGAAAAGTCACTCTAAAACCCCATGTTCTCCATGAAGATGCAGAATAAGGAGGCCTGTATTGTTTGTATTTATACACACAGAGTAAAAACAGCCATGGGTCAACATGGGATGTCCCTTATGCAGACCCCTCCCTATGCCCAGGGCCCCCACCCTGTCCTGGGCCAGGCACAGACACCCAGGTCTCAGCCGCGAGCACAGAGGGGCCTGGCGGTGGAGCACAGGGTGGCAGCTCAGGGGTTGACAGGCTCCTCGGGGAGATGTTTGCTGGCTCGGGATTCGAGGCGCAGGGGTCTCAAGGGCCTGGCAGGCCCTGGGGGTTGCTGGGGGTCCCTCGGGTGTGGGACCAGCGGTGGCAGCAGCGGCAGAGGCGGCAGGGAGGGCGGCCGAGCTGGCATGGTCATGTGAGAGCCCAAGGCATCTGAGTAGGTGCTGGTGCGGGTGCACATGGCTGTGGGCAGCAGAGACCCCAGATGTGTCCCAGGAGCACCCCTGGGAGATGCTGGCCCAAGGGGGCACCCCACCAAGGAGAAGGGAAGCCCCGGCCTGGAAGCGCTTTGTGTGCACAGCAGGGTGGGAGCCACACCTCGCCTGGTCTCCGGCACCTGAAACTTCCCGGGGGTAACCCAAGATAAATGACACCAGAAATGGGTGCCACAGTGGAGCACAGCACCCAGGACAGGACACGGGGCTTTGAGTCCGGGGCCCTGGGCTCAGGTCCCAGCTCGCCTGCTCTGGGACCTTGGGCCCCAGCTCCTTCTCTTGAAATGGGTTGATAGTACTCCCAGGCAGGATGGGGCGAGGTCAGGGAGAAAGTGCTCTGCGCACTGGGACAGGCCCCGGTGCCCGCACACGGCGGCACCAAATGGAGGCCGCACGCTCAGGGCTTTCCAGCTGGCTCCCGACCACGGCTCCCTGTCCCACCCAGCAGCCGGGTGGGCACCTGGGAACAGAGGCCTGTCCTGGGCCCTGGGGCCAGGAAGTCCCCCTGAAGGGTCAAGCGGCAGCCCTGACAGCTGGGTGAGGCCCCAGGGCCCCACCTGTGGCCGAGGCAGGTAAGGGGTGGGTGAGGTAGGGTGGGAGCCGTGGGGAGGGACCAGTGACCCTGCCAGGATCCCAGCTGGGCCAGGGCCGGGGTCAGGTACTCACGGGAGTAGATGGAACCAAACAAGGCACCAGAGCTCACGCGGTCATACAGGCTTCGAGATGGGGGGCACGGGACCTTCACAGCTTTGCGGACAGAAAAGGGGAAGAGATGGGAGTGGGCCGGGGCTCTTCCAGGGTTCAGTGCTCCCTGGAGCCCCTGCGGCAGGCCACACATTGCCTGTGGGGGCAGTGGAGAACCATCCCTGTTTCCCAGCCCCACCTGCCCCTGCGGCTCAGCCCTGCCCACGCCCTCCTTACCTCCTTGAGTCTAGGCTAAGGGAGTAAAAGGATTTTTTTTTTTTTTTTTTTTTTTTTTTTTTTGGAGACAGAGTCTCACTCTGTCACCCAGGCTAGAGTGTAATGGCACGATCACGGCTCACTGCAGCCTCGAAGTCCTAGCCTCAAGCGATCCTCCCTCCGCAGGCTCTCAAAAGTGCGGATGCTACTAGAGGTGTGAGCCGCCCCACCTGGTGCAAAGAAGGCTTTTTGAACATAGCGATGCTATTTTAGCATGTAGGACGTGCGGAAATGCTCACAAGAGTGTCGTGGTCGGGTGTCTGGCAGTTCTTTAGATTTCCCCCGGGGCCAGACCACCAAATGCCCCTTCCCCATGTCCTGTCCCTCACCTTTTTATTTATTTATTTATTTTTGCAGTTTTTTGAGGTGAAACTCATTTAGCATAAAACTAACCATTCTAAAGTGTACAATTCAGAGGCATTTAGTGCACTCAGTGTTGTACACCCACCTCTATCTAGTTCCAGAACATTTCCATTACCCCAGAAGGAGCCCCGTCCCACTTAGCAGTCACACTCAGTTCTCCCACCCCGACGCTGGCAGCCACCAATTTTCCTTCTGTCCCTATAGATGTCCCTATTTTGACATTTCGTGGAAACAGAATCTTGCAACGGGTGGCCTTTTGGGTCTGGCTCCGTCCTTCACTTTTGAAGCCACAGCCTCCCCGTCTCCCTGTCCAGCCAAGAGTCATTGTGTCCCCAATAGGCCACCTACCTCGATCCCTGCAACCTGGGAACACCTGACATAGCAAAGGGAGCTCTGAGAAGTTAAGGATCGTGAGGGGGGAGCATCCCGGTGACCCAGGTGGCCCTTGTAAGGAGGGGGCAGGAGGTCAGAGAAGGTGACAACAGAAGCAGAGGCCAGAGTGGCACTCCTTGGAGATGGAGGAAGGGCTGTGAGCCACGGACACAGGTGCCTCCAGGAGCCGGAACAGGGAGGGAAACAGACTCGCCCCGGCACCCCCAGGAGCACAGCCCTGCCTCGACGTTAGCCCAGGGAGGCCGATTTCAGACTTCTGATCTCGAGAACAGACTAACATAATCTGTGTTGTTTTGAGCCACTCAACGTGGTCACAGCAGCCGCGGGAAGGAAGGAACGCGGATGGGTCTGGGCTGGGCTGTGTGCTTTAGGCAGTTCCCTGGGAGCTGGTGGAGGCGCGCTCGAGGCTGGTGGGGTGACTTCCCCCTCGGCTGGCTCCCCCTGCCTCTGCCGCTTTGATCCCACACCTTCTCCCCAGTCCTGTCTGGGCTGGGCCTTCCTCCCCTGCGGGCCTCTCTGGAAGTCCAGCCTGCTGCCTGCCACCCCGCACGTCCGCCTCTGCAGGCTCCGTTCACTGCGGACCAGGTGTTCCTCTGCGCCTGACAGCAGCTCCGGAATCTGGACGCCAGAGGCTGGCCCGGGGCTCTTGGTGGCCTGGTGGCCGGGGGCTGGCAAAGAAGGGCCGTGTGCACAGCAGGAGCACGGAGGACTCTGGGATGAACGGATCACTGAACCCGGGACCGGGCTGGAGCTGGGCGGGGCTCACCCTGGCTGCTTTTAGGGTTAGATAGCAAGTCTGCTTTGGATTAGAATGTTCTTTTAGGTAAATAAACGAGCAACAGGAGCACACTGTTCGAGATCTGGCCACAGACAGGCTTCCAACTGATTTCTAATACAGCTAGTCCCCAATTTACGATGGTTTGACTTTGATTTTTCGACTTTACGATGGTGCAAAACCATCTCAATTTCAACATAATGTATGGTATTCAATAAGTTACATGAGACACTTCACACTTTCTTATAAAACAGGCCTCGTGTTAGATGATTTTGCCCAATTAGAGGCTCATGTACGTGTTCGGAGCACATTTAAGGGAGGCGAGGCTAAGCCGTGATGTCGGTGGGTGAGGGGTATTAAATGCAAATTGACTTAGGATGTTTTCAATTTACTGCAGGTCTGTCGGGACGGAACCCCATCGTAAGTGGAGGAGCACCTGTACTGGTTAGGCTTTGTCATCCCAGCAAGATAGAGCAGCTGAGACCTTCACGATTCAAGTCCTGGTTCTCTGCTTGGGTCTCGGGAATGCACAAGCCATCGGGGAGGAGTCCCTTCCTCTGGGGTGACATACTGGGGCTGGGTGTAGGGGGTGGTGGACATCATCCGTCCAGGCCCCGCCACCAGGGGTGCCCTCCCAGCAAGCACCCCCCACCTCATTCCTGAAACTTGTCTCCAGGTAGCCGCAGGGAGCAAGGAGGTGGGGCAGGGCCAGGCCCCAAGTTGGGGCTCACTAAACATTAGCCACTGTTGTTACCCTGCTCGGTGATCCCTGCAGCCCGGCCCAGCCCCTCCCAACAGACCTGGGGGGGAGCCCGGAACAGCCAAGTCTCCCCAGGAGAAGGCATCCCACCCAGGGAGAACACAGGGTTCGAGATGGAGTCCTGACCGCCTGGAAACGGGTGAGGGCCTGCAGTGGGGTCGAATGGTGGTCCCCAAAACGATCTCTCCCGGAACCTGTGACTATGGCCTTATTGGGAGAAAGGGTCTGTGCAGGTGTAATTCAGTTAAGGATCTTGAGATGAGATCATCCTGGGTTAGGTTGGGCCCTAAATCCAAAGACAAATATCCTTATAAGAGGAGAGGAGGCCGGGTGAGGTGGCTCACGCCTGTAATCCTAGCACTTTGGGAGGCGGTGGCGGGAGGGTTGCTTGAGCCCAGGAATTGGAGACTGCAGTGAGCTATGATGACACCACTGCACTCTAGGCTGGGCAACAGAGGGAGACCCTGTGTCAAAAAAAAAAAAAAAAGAAAGAAAAAAGAGTAGAGGAGAGGACAGGTGGAGGAGGTGGCCGTGTGCCAACGGAGGCAGACAGTGACGGGGCCGCAAGCCAAGGAGCCCCAGCAGCCGCCAGAAGCTGGAAGAGCAAGGAAGGATCCTCCCCGGGAGCCCTGACACCTCGACTTGGGGCTGCCAGCCCCTAGAACTGTGAGACAATAAACTTCTGCTGTTTTAAGCCGCATAGTTTGTGGCAATTTGTCGAGGCAGCCCCAGGAAACAGGTGCAGGATGCTTCCTTCTTTGCCAGCACGTCTAATAGAACGGCCCCCTGCCCTTTCTCACGTGTCTGGTGTTTAGTCCGCAAGTCAGTGGGGAGAAAGGTCCTGAGGAAGAATTTCTGCGGGTGGAGATCAGCCCCCGGGGAGCTCCGGGGATGGGGCATACGCAGCTCCCACGCGGCACAGCAGAGAACTCCTCTCCCGGGGCGGAAAACAGCCCCCGCGGTGTGCAGAGAAAGCTCTCCTTTGTGGGTTGTAAGCGCATGGTGGGTCTGGAGTCCTGGGGTTCCAGGTAGGAGCCAGTGAGAGCAGGAGCAGTGACCACAGCAACCGTTCCAAATGTCCGGGTCTCCCGCTGACCCAGCGGTCCAGGGCCTGGTCCCATCCAGCCTTCTCCTCCTCACCCTGCCCCTATCCCCGGCTCTGCACTCTGGGCAGTTCCTGCTGAGCGTGGTTCCGCCCACCACAGGGCCTTTTCACCCGCTGTTCCCTCCACCTGGGCCACCCTCCTCCCACCGACCCCTCAGCCAGCTCCGAGGACCGAGGACCGGCGTCCCTTGTCACCACTCTCCCACCGCCAGCCCAGCACCCCTTCCCCAGGCAGGCCAGCTGCCCCTTCTCTAGACCAGCTCTCCCTTCAGGCCACTGTTTGTCTCTTCCCAATAGCCCATCCTTGTCCTCGCCCGCTGCTGATTGGCTTACAGCCAGCCTCCCCCATCGGCCTCCCCCAGTGTGCGGGGACCATCGGGACGTCCCATCTCTTTTGCTCCCTACTGTCTCCTGGTGCCTGGTGTGGCACCTGGCACACAGTGGGGACCCCATTTTAGCGAGTGATTGTGTAAGGGCTCCCCGGTCAGGGACAGCACCCGCTCTGGGCCCCGCCTGCTCCCCCGGCCCGGCCCAGCAGAACCGGGGCCCTGGGAAGGGTGTCCAGAGAGCCCGACAGCCCTCACCTGCCAGCTCCGTGTCCACGCCGCCCGAGGACTGAGCCGCAACCTGGCTCATTCGGCCTTTGTACAGGATGCCGTCCACTCCCAGGATGTCCACCTCGGCCTGTTGGACGGCCGCGGCCTGGGTCAGGCAGCCCCCTTCCCTAGTGCACGCGGAGGTCGGGAGACAGAGCACAGCCTCCCCTGGGGGTGCCCGAGCTCCCGCCTGGGGCTGGGGTGCCCCGAAGTCCGCCCTCCAGGAAGGAGGCCCTGGCCAGACTCACGCTGTCATAATCCATCATGTCGGGGTCCCCGTAGGGGTAGAGGGTCGACAGGTTGTGCGACTTGTGCTTCGGGTTGGCGTCGTCTCGGGGGCCGTCTCCCCAGTTCTGCTGGCGGGAGTCCAGGCCCTCCTGGATTCTAAGGTCCCGGAACTGCAGCCGCTGCTGTTCCCTGGGGCAGGGCAGTGGGTGAGCATCTGCCCGGAGCCCCCCACCGCCGCCCCGGAGGGGCCTCAGGAGACACCGGCATTTCTTCCAGCTCGAGTTTCAGTGTCACCGCCGGGCAGGCCTGGGGCCTGGCAGTGGGCACAGGCACGCGGTGGGGCAGAGGGGTGCCCAGCTCTTGATCGCAAGGAGCCAGGTGAGGGAGGTGGGGGTCAGCACGGCCATCATTATAACTATTCAGCTGTTCTTCCCCACGTGGCCATGAGTTCTGGAAGGACCCATAGAGCCATGTGGGACGTCAGGAGGTCAAGAGGTGGCGCTGGGACCCAGGGAGCCAGCTGGGGACAGTAGAGACCTGAGCGTTTGGACGCCAGCTTTGCCATGTATGAGCGGTGACCTTGGGAAGGTCATTTGCGTTCCCTGAGCCTCAATTTCTTCAACTGTGAAATGGGATGGTAATGGAACACGCCGCAGAGGGGAGTGGTGAGGACCGGCCCAGACATGCCCTGACGACCTCGTTGCCTTTTCCTCCGAGGCAGACGGCACGATAGGCCTGGCTTGGGGTGCTGGGAGGTCTAAGTGAGAAATCCTCCTACTGAAGCTCTTGGCCCACAGAGATGCCCAGGAAATATGTGGGTTCCCTCGTCTGAGGCCACCTCACGGGCCTGCCTGCTGCCCCAGCCACCTCCCAGACGTCACCCCTGTGGATGGCTGGCAATGCCCTGGGAACGCGTTTGGCTCCTGGACCGCAGGATGTGTCTCTGCAGGACACGGTCCCCGGTCCCCGCCTGCTCACCTCATCTCCTGCCGCTGCAGGTACTCGTAGCTGTTGGCGCTGACGGGGCGCAGCCGCGACAGCAGGTGGGCCTGGCGGATGGTGATCAGCTGTCTGTGGGGGGCAAGAGTGGGGCCAGGGCTGTGGGAGGCGCAGTGGCCAGCGGAGGGCTCGGCTCCCACCCCCCTCCAGGATGCCCTCCCCGCAGGAGGAAGGAGGGGCAGACCTGGTTGCCCACCCTCACGCGCCAGAAACTTCCACGGCACGGGACCCCCGTGCAAGGGCTCTGGGGAGCCCCGAATAAACATCGTAAGACACACAAAAAAACAATTGTTCTGATTATAAAAGCAAGAACCGGATGAAATAAATCCTAGAAACAGGACACAGACTGGTGGTCGCCAGGGACTGAGGCAGGGAGGATGGAGAGAAACCGCTTGCTGGGTCTGGGGTCTCCTTTTTGGGGGATGACATGCTCTGCGGGTGGGTACAGGTGGGGGTTGCCCAACATGTACATGTACTAAATGCTGCCTAATACTGTGTTGTGTGTATTTTGCCTCAATAAAGAAATAAAAACACAGTAAAACATCACAGCCTTTTTGGGGGGCTGGAATCCTTCTACATCTTGATCTGAGCAGTGGCTGTGCAGTGGTGTGTATGGGTGCAAAAATTCATCAAGCTGTACAGTAGACATTTATGTGCCTTATTTTATGTATGTTAAGCCACAATAACATTTTTCAGGACTACATATTGACTGTCAGCATTTTATTTTATTTTTTTTTTTATTTTTATTTTTTTTGAGACAGAGTCTCGCTTTGTTGCCCAGGCTAGAGTGAGTGCCATGGCATCAGCCTAGCTCACAGCAACCTCAAACTCCTGGGCTCAAGCGATCCTCCTGCCTCAGCCTCCCGAGTAGCTGGGACTACAGGCATGCGCCACCATGCCCGGCTAATTTTTTTTTTCTATATATATTAGTTGGCCAATTAATTTTTCTATTTATAGTAGAGACGAGGTCTCGCTCTTGCTCAGGTTGGTTTCGAACTCCTGAACTCAAACGATCCGCCCGGCTCGGCCTCCCAGAGAGCTAGGATTACAGGCGTGAGCCACCGCGCCCGGCCTTTATTTTATTTTTATTTATTTTTTAACTGGCTTTTATCAAATACTGTCAGCATTTTTAGAAAGTACAGAAAAGCACCAAAAGCAAAGCACTGCAACCGTGTGACAAAGGTTTTGATACGTGTCCTTCCAACATTTATCCCTGTTTCCATAATTTTTTAAACAAAAATGGGATCATACACATACTGCTTGATAGTCTCATTTAATTTTATTGCAAACATTCTTCCAGGTCATTAAATATTCTTCCACAACTGCTATGGCTAATACAGTGGGCACTGGCCACATGTGGCTATTTAAATTTACATTTAAAGGAACTAAATTTTTAAATAAAATTTGAGACTCGGTTTCTCAGTCGAATTAGCGGTATTTCAAGAGCTCAAGGCATGGCTGAATACTGTGTTCTTTTATCAATAGTTTACACAGCCAGACACCATGCAAAAGCAGTCTTCCCTTTAAAATGACTGATGATATGCTAAGTTTTTCCATAGCATATCATTATTAAAGGTGAATACAAATAAATGAGAAAAAAAAAAAAAAAAGAGCTCAACAGCCGCAGGTGGCCAGTGGCCCCTGCACTGGGCTGCGCAGCTGTGGGCCACGCCCACATGGCAGGGTGTCCTGTTGGACAGGGTTCTTCTAAAACACAGTTTCTATGGGCTGATGTGAATGCATCGTAACTCATTTAGCACTTCAGGCTGTTCGAACGTTTTTACTCTTATTGATAGTAAAACCAGGCTGCAGTGCAGTGGTGCGATCACAGCTCACTGCAGCCTCCAACTCCTGGGCCCCAGCCACCCTTCTGCCTCAGCCTCCAAAGTAGCTGGGACTACAGGTGCCACCACGGCTGGCAGAATTATTCACTTTAAAATGCTTTATTTTATGTTACGTGAATCTCACCTCAATACATTTCTAAAAAGTATTAGACTTCTATAAAAATAAGCACAAGGAAGCACAACAAAGCTCTGCTTTCTCCCGCAGTGGTTCCTTCCACCCTCTTTTGTTGTCGTTGTTGTTGGGGGAAGTGCTGCCCCAGGCCCTGGCACGCAGCACTAGGCAAGGCTGAGGAAGGACAGGACAGCGCCCTCCCTCCCAGGGGACCCCTCAGCGGCCAGAGGGGAAGCATAATACGTCTGTAGCTGATGTACATGGATGTGTACATACTCAAGGGCTGGAAAACAAGTGGATGTATATGCGGATTTACTTGAAGGCTGAAGAATGGTGCACAGGGGCGGGGCACAGTGGCTCACGCCTGTAATCCTAGCACTCTGGGAGGCCAAGGTGGGCGGATTGCTCGAGGTCAGGAGTTCAAAACCAGCCTGAGCAAGAGCAAGACCCCGTCTCTACTATAAATAGAAATTAATTGGCCAACTAATATATATAGGAAAAATTAGCCGGGCATGGTGGCGCATGCCTGTACTCCCAGCTGCTCAGGAGGCTGAGGCAGGAGGATCGCTTGAGCCCAGGAGATTGAGGTTGCTGTGAGCTAGGCTGACGTCATGGCACTCACTATAGCCTGGGAAACAAAGTGAGACCCTGTCTCAAAAAAAAAAAAAAAAAAAAAGGCGCACATGGATGTGTATACATGTGGTGTATACAGAACAGTATGTGTGCATGTACATGGTGTATACAGGCCGGTACACACGCACGTGTACACGCATGGCGTACACAGGCCAATGCACACGCACGTGTACATGCATGGGGTATATAGAATGGTGCACATTGACACATACATATGTGACATTCACAGAACAGCCCCGCCTGCGCTACGTCTGTGTGTCCAGGTGTGTGGACCCTGGGAGCTGCCCGCGGCGCCCCCTGGCGTTGTACTCACGGGCTGGTCATCATCTCCACGGACCGGTCGCAGGAAATGCACTTCACCCGCTCAAAGAGCTTCCTGCAAGACAAAACTGGCCAGTCAGGTGGCCCCGCCCTGCCCTGCCCAGGCGTCTGGAGTCCCGCGTAGCCCCCAGGATGCCCCTCCAGGCTGCACACTCACTTCCTGAAGCCGGCGGCGCCGTCAGGGTCGAATCGGAAGACCTCAACCAGCAGCTTCTGGAGAATTTTCCAGACCTCTTCCAAGTCTTTCTTCAGAGAGTCCAGGTCACTGTGGACTAGCTGCCAACAGCCAAAGGGGAGAAAAGAAAGTCTGGTCAATTAATTCACACCCTGCCTCCTTCCAGAACGGATTTGCAGCAACCTGCAAAGTTACATAGAGCATAACAAGAGTAAACAAAAGTAACGAAGTAGTCCAGGAAGGGGAGGATGATACCACTCGGGTTAAGATCCATACCCCTACTAGATACTATTGCTGGAGGTATCTGGAGCTGCAAAGTGAGTTTCCCAGCAGCCAAGGCAAAAAGAACCCACTATCAACTGCTTCCTACAAAAGATCAAATTATACCTACTGCCCAACTGCAGGCCTGGGGGCCCGAGAACATTTATTTCTCCGGATGGTCCCCATGCACCTGACATTCACATTCAACACATATTTACTGAGGGTCTGTATGTGAAGTGAACAAGTCAGTGGCTTTAGTATTTAGTATATTCACAGAGTTGTGCAACCATCACAATCACTCCCAAAAGAAACCCCGTACCCATTACAAGTCATCCCCATTCCCTCCCAAGCCCCCAGGGCCTGGCAACTACTAATCTTCTGTCTTAACAAATTTACCTATTCTGAAAATTTAATATAGATGAAATCATACCATATGTGGCCTTTTTGGGTCTGGCCTCATTGACTTAGCGTAATATTTTCAAGGTTCATCCCTGTTGTGGCATGAATCAGTGCTTCGCTCGTGCTACCTATTACGGAATATTATGAACAAATAATATTCCATCATATGGATAGGCCACATTTTACTGATTCATCTGCTGATGGACACTTGGGTTGCTTCCACCTTTTTTTTTTTTTTTTTTTTTGAGACAGAGCCTCACTTTGTTGCCCAGGCTAGCGTGAGTGCCGTGGAGTCAGCCTAGCTCACAGCAACCTCAAACTCCTGGGCTCAAGCAATCCTTCTGCCTCAGCCTCCCAAGTAGCTGGGACTACAGGCATGCGCCACCATGCCCGGCTAATTTTTTCTATATATATTAGTTGGCCAATTACTTACTTTCTATTTATAGTAGAGACAGGGTCTCGCTCTTGCTCAGGCTGGTTTCAAACTCCTGACCTCGAGCAATCCGCCCACCTCGGCCTCCCAGAGAGCTAGGATTACAGGCATGAGCCACCTCGCCCAGCCTGCTTCCACCTTTTGACTACTGTGAATAATGCTGCTATGAACATTCACGCACAAACTTTTGTGTAGACATGTGTTTTCATTCTTCTTGGGTATAGGGCATGAAGCTCGGATTCATGCTACAGCATGGATGAACTTCAAAGACATTATGCTCAGTAAAAGAAGCCAGACACAAATGTTCACAAAGTGTGTGACTGATTCCATTTAAGAAATGTCCAGGCCGGGCGCAGTGGCTCACGCCTGTAATCCTAGCACTCTGGGAGGCCAAGGCGGAGATGGGGTCAGGAGCAAGAGCCAGACCCCATCTCTACTATAAATAGAAAGAAAGAAATTAATTGGCCAACTAATATATATAGAAAAAAAAATTAGCGGGGCATGGTGGTGCATGCCTGTAGTCCCAGCTGCTCAGGAGGCTGAGGCAGGAGGATTGCTTGAGCCCAGGAGTGTGAGGTTGCTGTGAGCTAGGCTGACGCCACGGCACTCACTCTAGCCTGGGCAACAAAGCGAGACTCTGTCTGAAAAAAAAAAAAAAAAACTCTCTGTTCTCAGTCGCCCATCGCCACTATTGAATTATTGAAGAGAAACAGAGCAGTGTTTGTAGAATGTTATCCACCTGTAATTTTGCATTGATTTGCGTAATTCCTCTGACTAAATGTGTCCCCACAAAGACCAAGTCCCATACATACCCCTTTGGCCCATTGCTCTGTGGCAGTGACCAGCACTCTAGGTACCCCTTGCATAGTTGGATGAAGAAATGGATCCCCATTATACAGATGAGAAAACTGAGCCTCAGAGAGGTCATACAACTACTGTGCATAGTGCAGCTGGGACTCAAACCCAGAGCTGCCTGATTCTAAACGCAATCTCTTTGGGCCATACCGGCCACCCCAGCTGCAAGAACCACACAGCACTGTAATTGTTGGGGTCTGACAGTTCCTGCCTCTCTGTCCGACTGCACAAATCAAGGCAGGGGCTGTGACGCCTCGTCGACGTTTCCCCAGGGTCTGGCACATCCCGGGCGGCCAGTGAATGAGGAAGGAATAAATGAATGATTGGCTTGGTCCCCCCATGGACTCCCTCCTCCACGCCACACGGTCCAGCTGGGAGAGTCAGGGTACAGCCTCCGAGCTGGCCCCCAACTGCCCCTCTCGGTATTCACACCACTGGGCCGTCCGCTCCCGTGGAGCCTCCAGGATGTCACAGAGACGAGGGAGGGTCACTCTGTGGCTAAGTCATAAAAGACACTGCAGCTTCCTTCTTGCTCTCTTGGGTCCCTTGCTCCGAGGGACGCCCTGAGGGCCACGCGAGTGGTCCTGAGGAGTCGCCTGTGAGATGAGGAACTGGGAGTCTTGCCAATGGCCACATGAGGGTGCCATATGTATTTTTAAATTGTATTTATTCATTTTTATATTTTAGGTACAGGGTCCTGAGGCTGTCCCCAAGACTGGAACGCAGCAGCACGATCACAGCTCACTGTGACCTCAAGCGATCCTCCTGCCTTGGCCTCTCAAAGCGCGGGGATTACAGGCCTTGAGCCGCCACACCCAGCCAAGGGCACCGCCTTTGAAGCAGCTCGCCTAGCCCCTGTCAAGCCCTCAGATGGTCCCAGCCCTGGATGACATCTTGGCTGTGACCTTGGGGGCAGACCCTGAGCCACAGAGCCAGGCTGCTGGGCGGCCCCCAAGTTCTTGCTCCTTGGGGAAGTTGAGAACGCTTGTTGTTTGAAGCTGGTAAGTCCCGGGATCATTTGTTACGCAGCAAGCGCTGACCAACGCGGGACACTCACCTTGGTGCTCACGTCCTTCTTGAGCCGCTCCATAGTCTTCTTCCAGTTGTGCTCGTGGGCCGAGACCTTGAGGAGCATGCCCTGAACCATCTCGTTCAGCTCGGTCGCCACGGTCTCCAGGTCGGCCCGGTTCGCCTTGCTCGCCACGGCGCCCCTGTCGGCTTTCTGGGGAGAGAGGGGCCCAGGGAGGGGCAGCTGCCGGGGTGGAGTGGGGGGCACAGGAGACGTCACACCCCTTGGTGTGTGACCTTTTCCAGTTCAGGACCCTGGACTTTTAGACCTGGCTTAACTTCGACCTTGGTGTCTGCGTGGGCTCAGACACAGCCCGGAGACCTGAGCCGTCGTGGCTTTCCTATCACAGGAAAGATGACGCCTGATACGGAAGCTCACATAACAGTCTCGCTCATCATGAGCGGGGGTTGATGGGACCACTTTTGAGAAGCTTCCCCTTCTCAAAACCTCTCCGTGTGAATAAAAGCGGAGGGAATTTCCGGAAGGCTTGCCCCGGGCCTTGCCTGGACGGCTGCGGCTCCCCGGCCTGGAGAGCCGGGCTGGGGGGGCCGGGGGAAGGCACCGGAACCCGCGATCTCGCACCTCTTTCAGCTCCTGCTCTATCATGCTCTTGGTCGCCATGTTCATCTCCAGTGCTCTGATTTGCCCCTGGAGTAACTGAGAACAGAAGCGAAGGCACGTCAGCCTCCCGCCTCCAGCCCGTCACGCGCTGGGCGGGGACAACGGGGCCAGGTGGGCAGCAGGTAGGTGGGCGCGCTGGAGGGTTTGGGCCCAGGGGTTGCAGGTGCCCAGGCGAGAAGGGAAGGGGCGTGGGACAAGCTGTCCCCTCGGACGCGGTGTCATTGAACTTCTCTGCACGGGGAGTTAGACCCACGGAAGGAAAGCACAAGCCAGTGCTAACGGTCGGCTCCCTGGATGTTTGAGGCAAGGTCACCTCTTCTGGTCCCTACTGGGGTCCCACTGAGAATTCCAGCCTGCCATCAACTGAGCCCTTATCACGTGCCACACACGCCGTGCCCAGGTGTTAGGGGGAACCCTAGTTTCCCATCCCCACCACTCCATGAAGAACCAACTCCCCACAGTAGCTCCACCCTCTCTTCTCCTACTGGTTCCCCAACAGGAGCAGCAGCCCATGTCCAAGAGCCTCCCGTGTCCCCAGAAGGCGGGGCCGCTTTTCCTCCCAAGCTGTGAAACGACTTTCAGCTGGAAGCCTGCTGCCCAGAGTCAAGACTACATTTCACAGCTCCCCAGGAACAGAAACAGACAGGTGTCTTTAACCTTCTTCATCCTCTATCCTCCCCTTTGCTGCTGGGTTGGACGTAGAGTTAATGACTGGAGCGCCAGCAGCCATCTTGGGCCACGAGGGGACCTTCTGAATGGAAGTCACAGAGTAGGACCATAAACACAGAGCTTGGGTCTCCAATACTGCGCAGCACCGTGCCAGCTCTGGCCTGACCTTCTGAATTTCTTGAACATGAAAGGGAAATACACTTACGTCTTGTTTGAGTCAGTTACGTGGAGGCTTTGTGTCATTCAAAGTTGGACCTGATTCTAATTAGCACCAAAGTTCCGTCACATCCACATCCCTGCCCCAAAGACGGGTCCCGAGTTCCAGAATGAGAAGTGGCGGCGTGGGAAGGAGCTCCTGCTCGGCCTCACGTCCAGTTGTTCCCTCCAACTCAACAGCAGCCTTTCGAAGTCATCAGGAGCAACTTTAATACTTAGATCCCCGTTCGGTTCTTTTGAGACAGGGTCTTGCTGTCACCCAGGGTGGAGTGCAGTGGCATCATCAAAGCTCACTGCAGCCTCCAACTCCTGGGCTCAAATGCTCCTCCTGCCTCGGCCTTCCAAGTAGCTGGGACTACAGGCATGCGCCACCACGCCTGTCTATATATTTTTTTTTTTTTTGAGACAGAGTCTCGCTTTGTTGTCCAGGCTAGAGTGAGTGCCGTGGCATCAGCCTAGCTCACAGCAACCTCAGACTCCTGGGCTTGAGTGATCCTTCTGCCTCAGCCTCCCGAGTAGCTGGGACTACAGGCATGCGCCACCGTGCCCGGCTAATTTTTTTTATATATATATCAGTTGGCCAATTAATTTCTTTCTATTTATAGTAGAGACGGGGTCTCGCTCTTGCTCAGGCTGGTTTTGAACTCCTGACCTTGAGCAATCCGCCCGCCTCGGCCTCCCAAGAGCTAGGATTACAGGCGTGAGCCACAGCGCCCGGCCTGTCTATTTTTTTAATTTTAATTTTTTTTTTTTTTTTTTGTAGAGACTTGGTCTCACTGTGGTGCCCTGGGCTGGTCTTGAACTCCTGGCCTCCCACCCACTTGGGTCTTTAGGTATATTCTCAAATAGTTAAAATCTAGAAACAAAGAGGGGCGATTAGGTGGGACCCTCTAACTTCCACTGCCAGCGTCACTTGTGTCCTGGGTTGAATAGTGGCTCCCCCAAAATTTATGTCCACCAGAACCTGTGAATATGGCCTTATTTGGAAATAATAAAGGTCTCTGCAGATGTAATTAGTAATATGAGGTCATACCGGACAACGGGGGGGGGGGGACTTTGAATCCAATGACTGATGCCCTCATATTAATAAAAGAAGGTCATCTGAAGACACAGAGATGCACAGAGGGAAGGGGGCCATGTGCCCACTGAAGCAGGCACTGGAGTGATGCAGACATAAGCTAAGGCATAACACCTCTGGCTGCCAGAAGCTGGAGGAGGCAAGGGAAGATTCTTCTCTAGAGACTTCCATGGAACGTGGCCCTGTGACACCTTCATGCCAGACTTCCAGCCTCGAGAACTGGGAGAGAGAACATTTCTATCATTTTAAGACACCCAGATTGTGGTCACTTGTCACAGCAGCCACAGGAACTGGTAAACCAAGCAGGTAGCAGAATCGGGACTCAAACCCAGGCTCACCAGTCCCAGAGCCTGTGCCCCGGGCCACAGCACCCACGCGGGCAGGCTGGCGTTGGTCTTTCCGCCTCAGCCTCTGTTTCCTCCTCTTTAATATGGTACCGATTCCACTTCTTTTCCAGGGATGCTGGTGGGACTATTAGAAATGGGATCTAGAACGTTCCTGGCGGACAGGGTCCAGTGCACGTTAGCTATCAGTCTCGCCTGGCATGGAAGCCACAGCGCTGTGGATTTAACAGTTTGCTCCAGGAACGATTTTGAAGGCAGCCAGGGCCTTATCAAAGACTACTTGTCTACTCGAAAAGGGCATACGTGTTTTCCCTAGAATCAATAAGAAAGAGTCTGTCCTCACTTATTTTCCTGCTGTGATCTCAGGGGGAAGCGCTCTTCGAGAAACAGCCCAGAGGCTCCCAGCCCTCTTTGCACCTGCGAGGTTCCAGGCAGGGGCTGTGACGGAGAAGAGTCTGCAAAGGGCCCCAAGCACTGGCTGGTGGCTGGCAGCTGCCGCTGCGCAGGGGCCCCGGCTGGTGGCTCTGACTCTGGACTCCTGGGAACCCGAGGCCTGGCTCAGACAGGACCCTGGGGTGAGGGGGAGAGGTTGGCAGCTGACGTCCCCCCCCAGTCCCTCTCAGGGATGAATGTTGCCTAAACCTGGGCTTCCAGGACAGTGAGCCCCCTGTATTGGTGTCCCGTGACAGTCAAGGCAATTCAACACCACCTTGTAACAACGGAAATCCAAAATCGAAGCGTTGGCGGGCCTCGCTCCCTTGGTGGGCGCCAGGGGAGGCCCCTCCTTGCCTCTTCCTGCTCCCTGGCCCTCCCTGGCCGGTGGCTGCGTCACATAATCTCTGCCGCTCTCTCTTCGTGTGGCCTCCTGCTCTGTGTGTCTCCAACTTCCTTCCCCTTCCCCTCATAAGATCGCTTGTCGCTGGATTCCATGCCCTCCCAGATAACTCAGGATGATCTCTTTGTTTCAATATCCTCAGTCGTGGCGGGGCGCGGTGGCTCACGCCTGTAATCCTAGCACTCTGGGAGGCGGAGGCGGAGATGGGGTCAGGAGCAAGAGCCAGACCCCATCTCTACTATAAATAGAAAGAAATTAATTGGCCAACTAATATATATAGAAAAAAAAATTAGCGGGGCATGGTAGCGCATGCCTGTAGTCCCAGCTACTCAGGAGGCTGAGGCAGGAGGATCACTTGAGCCCGGGAGTTTGAGGTTGCTGTGAGCTAGGCTGACGCCACGGCACTCACTCTAGCCTGGGCAACAAAGCGAGACTCTGTCTCAAAAATAAAAAAAGATAACCTCAATCGCATCTGTAGAGACCTTTCAAAAATGTTTTCCTTTTCGTTTCATGGCTGCATTACATTCCATCCATCATGTGGCGAGACCACGTCCTGTGCTTTGGAGGCTGTGCCACACTCGGCGCCCAGCGGGCGCTACAGTTCTGATAGGACGCCCATGGGCTCTGCTCTCCGGCCTGAAGAACGGGAGCTCATCAGAGCTTCGGGCAGCTACGGACAGAAAGACGAGGGCGAATCCAGAGAAGAGAGCTGGAGGGGCAGCCGCGCATGCTACGCGCACGCCGGGCCGAGCCCCCAGCGGGCCCTGCTCTGGGCACATGCGCCACCGCACGCCAGCCAGCCAGGGTGACAGAGACAGAGCCTGTCCCAAACACAGACAGAAGCACCGGATGGTGTCTCTCTCGTGGCCGCCGGATGGCCGGGACCCGGGAGGGTGCCCGGTGCGGAGTGGACTCTCAACAGATCACGTTTGCTGAGCGAATGGGCGCGTGGGTCACAGGTTTTGCCCGCGGTCGTGCGCGGAACACGGAACGCGTCCACGCCCACAGCCCGGTGCAGCCCCCGCGGCGTCGCCCCTGCGCTCAGGCGCTGCAGCAGGACCGCGGCCTCCCTGGCTCCCGCTGGAAAGGTCCGCCGGCGCGGCTGGCCTCTTGCCGTGTGGGTTCGTTTAAGAAATATTTAATGAATTGTGTGTGGTGGCTGTGTGTGTTTTTGTAAGGCTGGTCGAGAGAAACGGCGGAGTGGAGAAGGAACACAGGCATCTGCAACTGGCCGTGATCGATTAGTTGTGAACACCGCTGAATTCGGACCGGCAGGTTCCGCGTTGCACGCAAAGCTCCGTTCCGGGTGCTTCCGGGGTTAACGTTAACAAGCAATTAAATCTCTACGGCAGGAGACCCGGGAAGGACGTCCGGAGTCGGGAGGTAGGACGAGGAGCTCAGCTTGGGCACCGCTTGTTAGGGCCTCGTTCTTTGCCTGAGGGTCTGTGGGCCAGTGACAGCGACGGACTTGGAGGCAGACGCCGCACCCGCCATCGCCCCCGTGCGGGGCTGCCGCGGAGCTGGCACATGTCGGGCGTGCTGAATCGCACTGGCTCCAGGCCCATGGAGGAAGGAAGGGCACCAAGATGTCCCCAGGGCATGGTGACCAGGCCTCTTGGAGGAGCAGTGCTGGCAGGAGACAGCGTGGCTCCTCCTCAGTGTGCTCAGGGGTCTGGGCACGGAGCCCTGCAAACCGCCGCCCACGGAGGCCCGGCGTCCCCAGAGAGAGCCAGCTCTCCCTCCCGCCCGCTCCTCAGGCTCCGAGTTGGTCCCTTTTCCTGAGTTCTTTTCCATTCCAAGTTGCCCCTCGTGGGCCCCAGCCTGCTTCCGCAGTGCGCCAACCTCGGGGGGCGGGGCGGCAACCTGCCTCGGCTCGCCTCGCCTCTGCCCTTCAGCCCCCACATCCCAATGCACCCCGCTGCCCCACATCCCCCTGGCTGGGACCAGAAGCCTCCATGAAAACACCCCCAGGCAGGTTCGTTAGGGATTTTGTGTCTTTAAACTTGGGGGCAGGTCAGTCCCTCCCACCAGGAGCCATCCCTTGATGCCCTCCCCAAAGGTCAGGGACACCTCTGGGATGAGGTACAGGCTGGACTCGTCCGACCAGGTCACTAGGCCAGCTCAGTGAGCAGGGCCCCTCAGACCCCGGGAGAAGGTGTCCGGCCGAGTGAGTCCCTGGGGGGCTGCCCCGTGCCCGCCTTGCTGTCCCAGCGTGGCCCGGTGCTGCTGGGCGCTCGGGAGCGGGCCTCGTCCCTCTGCTGGCGTGGGCAAACGCACACGCACACCCGTTGGCGGGAGAAATCCTTATTCACCATGGATTCATCCTGCAAGTGTCACTGAGCCTGCACTGTGCTCTTCTAGGCTGTGGGCGGCGCGGTGACGAGCTAGGCAGGCGCTGTCCAGCCCTTCCGCTCATGTATGTGTGTGTCTGGGGGGGAGGGGGCGTTCGTTTGCTTTTCAATGAAGTATAATTTACGCAGAGTAAAATGCCAGCAAACCCCGACTGCTCCACCCCCGCCTCCAGCGCACCCACTCCTGCCGCCTTGAACCTTGGGGCAGGGTCTGAGTGGCCCAGCGGGGAGCCCTCCCCTTGCCCGCCCAGCCCCCTCACCGAACCTTGAACTCGTCCAGGCGAGACTCCAGCCTCTCCACCGCCCTGTCCAGCACGAGGTAGTGGTCCTTTATCATCTCTATCTGGTGGCCCCAAACTCTCTCAAGTTCCTCCTCCTACAAGGGGACACACAGACAGCCAGGGCCTCTGCGTCTGAGGCCACCCTGGCCCGGAGGGGGCCTTGGGAGGGCCTAGGCCGGCCGAGAAGCAGATACCTGACCAGCATGTCTCCAACCTGCCGCCTCAACAGCCCCCGGGACACTTCTCCGGAGGGATCCCGCAGCCCCTCCCATCGGGGCCTCCTGCTACGAGGCCAGGAGGGAGGGGTGTGCGGGCTGCTCACCTCCAGCCCTCATCTCCTCAAAAGCTCTTCTCTGCCACTGGGGACACTCACCTGTAGCCTGGCCTTCTGGAGGTTGTTCAGCTTTTCCTGCAGTATGTCCACCGTGGTCCCGAGCCCGGCAGTGCTTCCCATGTTGGCTGAAAGCAAAGGAGGGGGGTCTTGGCTGGGGGCAGGGATGGAGCGAGACGATTGCCTGAGCTCCGGCTGCTTCTGTCAGAGGCGTGTGGCGCAGCGCCGCCGGCAGGAGTGCACGGCGGGCTCGAGGGCCTGGGAAGTGATTTTCAAGTTTCTAAAAAATTTTAGGAAAAAAAATTTTTTTTTTTGGAGGCAGGTTCTTGCTCTGTTGCCAGGGCTAGAGTGCCATGGCATCATCATAGCCCACTGCGATTTCGAACTCCTGGGCTCCAGTGATCCTCCTGCCTCAGCCCCCCGAGTAGCTGGGACTACAGGCATCAGTCAGCATCGCCCGAGAACAGGTTAGAAACAAAAATTCTAGGGCCCCACCCAGGTCCACCTGGTCAGAAACCCCGGCCGGGGTGCAGCAGTCTGCTCTCCCGGGCCCTGGGGAACCGCGCCTGCAGAAGGCCCTCTCCCCACTCCCCCGTGGCTGCCCACGAGGGCCGTGACATCGGGGCAGGAATCAGCCGGTCCCACGGTGACCCAGAACGTGACTATGGTCTTTAAGGACACGTATTTTTGCCTGGCCGTTGCTCCTAACCCCAAACTGGCCACACAATCCAGGGTCTGCTTGGTGCTGCTGGACACATCGGCTGAGCTGAGCTTCCCATAGCACCGCCGTGCAGCATGATTTTATGGGCTATCGCTAAGGAGTTTTCAAGAGTAATTTTAAGGCCGGGCGCGGTGGCTCACGCCTGTAATCCTAGCACTCTGGGAGGCCGAGGCGGGCGGATTGCTCAAGGTCAGGAGTTCAAAACCAGCCTGAGCAAGAGCGAGACCCCGTCTCTACTATAAATAGAAAGAAATTAATTGGCCAACTAATATATATAGAAAAAATTAGCCAGGCATGGTGATGCATGCCTGTAGTCCCAGCTACTTGGGAGACTGAGGCAGCAGGATTGCTTGAGCCCAGGAGTTTGAGGTTGCTGTGAGCTAGGCTGACGCCACGGCAGTCACCTCTAGCCTGGGCAACAGAGTGAGACTCTATCTCAAAAAAAAAAAAAAAAAAAGAGTAATTTTGAGATGTGACTTTTCTCAAGTGCCAACTTTAGACCCTAACAGCCTCTCTCCCCTAAGGTAAAATCTCACTATACGTTCAATATAACAGAATAGACTAGTAAGAGGTCACATGTGTACCCCAAAGGAATGAATGGCTAATGGTTGAATGTAGATTTTGTTTGGGGGAGCCAAAGGGAGGACAGGAGGTACTTCTGGAAGGCCAGAGGGAGGACCTGAGCCCTGCTGGCCCTCTCGGGGACAGAGCAGGCCTACCTAGAAAAGTCAGGCGCTGGTTTAGGCTGGATGACAGCTGGGCAATCTCCTCTTTCAGGGAGTCGTGTTGAATAGGGATCTGGGCTATGTAGTTCATGGAGTACTTGACGGCTTTCTTCTTTTCCTCAGGGCTCGCGGCCTCCTTGGCTGCTATCATAGCCGTCACCATGGCCTGGGACACAGTGGCCTCGGGAGTGATGACAGGATAGTAGGGCGGAGAGAAGTTATCGTAGTCTGCCTGCACCTCTTCCAGCTCCTCTTCCAACTCTTCCTTCTCATCAATGAGGGCCCCCCGGGAAGGCCCTGCACCCAGGACATCTGAAGAGAGCCCGAAGGGCCCAGATGTGGCCATGGATGTTGCTACGCTGGCCATTTTGGTGGCAGGGGCATCCTTGACCACCTTGGCAGCGGCCGTGGCTGCCTGGGCTGCTGAGCGGGCGCTGGCTGCGTAGGCTGCAGCGGCGGCAGCGGCGAAGGCCGAGGTGGTTTTCATCCGCTGAATGGAAGGCAGGGCATCCTGAGGCTGTGCTTCCCTTGGGGCCCCATCCTTGGGGGCCCTGTCCTTCCGGGCCGCGTCCTTGTGGGCTCTGTCCTTTGCCTTCCTATGCTTTGGGGCTTCCTCCTTGGGGATCCCATCCTGAGACATTCTCCGGAAGGATGCATCAGTTTCCTCCCTCCTTTCCTCCACAGCCGGGAGCTGCTGGGCATCTGCCCCGTAGGGCTGGAATGGCTGCAGCGGAGGAGGCCATGCTGAGCCCAGCTCGGTGGCAGGCGGTGGGGCCCTGGAGGCGGTGGGGCCCTGAGTCTGAGCAGGATGCTGAAAGGGTAAGCCCAAGGAAGCCTCTGTGCCAGGCCTGGGGCCACCTTCAGGAACAGGCCAGACTCCTGGTGGCATAGGCCAGACTCCAGCTGGCAGGAGCTGGGCACCTTGGGCAGCCCAAGGTGCTGTCATGAACCCAGGCATCCCACCGGGCCCCACCACAGGCCCCAGCCAGGCCATGGGCTCAGACGGCAGCCCTGGTGCAAGACCAGGTGTGGGCCCAGGTGCGGACTCAGGTGTGTGCCCAGGTGCGGACTCAGGTGTGGGCCCAGGTGCGGACTCAGGTGTGCGCCCAGGTGCGGACTCAGGTGTGCGCCCAGTTTCGGACTCAGGTGTGCGCCCAGTTGCGGACTCAGGTGTGCGCCCAGTTGCGGACTCAGGTGTGGGCCCAGGTGCGGACTCAGGTGTGGGCCCAGGTGCGAACTCAGGTGTGCGCCCAGTTGCGGACTCAGGTGTGCGCCCAGGTGCGGACTCAGGTGTGGGCCCAGGTGCGGACTCAGGTGTGCGCCCAGTTGCGGACTCAGGTGTGCGCCCAGGTGCGGACTCAGGTGTGGGGCCAGGTGCGGACTCAGGTGTGCGCCCAGTTGCGGACTCAGGTGTGGGCCCAATTGCGGACTCAGGTGTGCGCCCAGTTGCGTACTCAGGTGTGCGCCCAGTTGCGTACTCAGGTGTGCGCCCTGGTGCGTACTCAGGTGTGCGCCCAGGTGCGGACTCAGGTGTGCGCCCAGGTGCGGACTCAGGTGTGCGCCCAGGTGCGGACTCAGGTGTGCGCCCAGGTGCGTACTCAGGTGTGCGCCCAGGTGCGGACTCAGGTGTGCGCCCAGGTGCGGACTCAGGTGTGGGCCCAGGTGCAAACTTAGGTGTGCGCCCTGGTGCGGACTCAGGTGTGCGCCCAGGTGCGGACTCAGGTGTGGGCCCAGGTGCAAACTTAGGTGTGCGCCCTGGTGCGGACTCAGGTGTGCGCCCTGGTGCGGACTCAGGTGTGGGCCCAATTGCGGACTCAGGTGTGCGCCCAGGTGCGGACTCAGGTGTGCGCCCAGTTGCGGACTCAGGTGTGGGCCCAATTGCGGGACTCAGGTGTGCGCCCTGGTGCGGACTCAGGTGTGGGCCCAGGTGCAAACTTAGGTGTGCGCCCTGGTGCGGACTCAGGTGTGCGCCCTGGTGCGGACTTAGGTGTGCGCCCAGGTGCGGACTCAGGTGTGGGGCCAGGTGCGGACTCAGGTTCAGGCTGAGGTGCAGACCCAAGCTGGGGCATGAGCGCAGGCCTGAGGGCCGGACGTTGGCCTGGCTTCTGGGCATCGCCGACTGAAACTTCGAGGGTAGACTCCTCCTCCGGCGGGAGCTGTTGGGCCTCGTATTGCCAGGCGGTCTGCAGGAGCTGGGGGGGTTGGACGGGCTCTGAGACCTGGGTGGGACGACCAGCTTCGCCGTACTCTGTACTCTGTGCCAGGGCAGCGTCTGGGAGCTGCTGTGTGGTCTTCCACAGACTGGATGGTTCCAGCTGCGGGATCGAATCAGCATCCTGCAGAGAAAGGGGCTGAGAGTGCCAGGCTGACTTCCCACCCCCTCACCAGGCCACCCGCAGTCACCTGCCTGCTCCCCGTGCCCCTGCCGTCCTGCCGCCTCCCCAGACCCTCTGCTTCTCCTCGTCTTCCACCTTCACTCACTGAGGAGAACATGGCCTCGTGGAGCCCGCTCCAGAGCACCATCTCTTCGATTTTGGGGATGGTTCGAAACTTGTTCTGGAGAGAAATCTGCAGGGTGACCACAGGGAGGAGGCGTGAGCCTGGAGGGTGCAATGCCCTCAGGGGGCTCCCCGTCCGTACTGACCCCCACACTTGCAAAGAAACGTTTCCAGCCTGTGTCCTCCTCACCCGTCCCCACCCCAGCGCCAGAGACACTGGAGATCAGGGACCAGGCAGGAGGATGGGGCTGGGGTCCTCACCATGTCTCGCTGCAGCAGGTTCACCTTCCTGTTCTGTGCTCTCAAGTCATCGGTGAAGATGTCTATTCTTTCCGGATGTATCTGTCAAATGAGCCGGGTCTGTGGGCCAGGGTGCAGGTTCTGGTCCTAGCCCTGCCTCTTCCCACCACTTTAGGTGGCTAAGAGCTTGAGAAAGACGATTGGATTTCACAGCCAGCATTTCCCAGGGAGTGGGAAAGGCATAAGAAAGTGTTCATGGCTGGGCGTGGTGGCTCACGCCTGTAATCCTAACACTCTGGGAGGCCAAGGTGGGAGGATCGCTTGAGGTCAGGAGTTCAAGACCAGCCTGAGCAAGAGTGAGACCCCCATCTCTACTAAATAGAAATAAATTAATTGACCAACCAAAAATATATATACAAAAAATTTGCCGGGCATGGTGGTGCATGCCTGTAGTCCCAGCTACTCGGAAGGCTGAGAAAGTAGAATTGCTTGACCCCAGGAGTTTGAGGTTGCTGTGAGCTAGGCTGATGCCACAGCACTCACTCTAGCCAGGGCAACAAAGTAAGACAATGTCTCAAAAAAAAAAAAAAAGAAAAAGAAAAGAAAAAAAAGAAAGGGTTCCATGGACAAATGAGTTTCAGAAATGCTGAGCTAAAAAGCATTCAATAGACCGGGCCCAGTGGCTCTTGCCTGTAATTCTAGCACTCTGGGAGGCTGAGGCAGGAGGATCACTTGAACTCTGGAGTTCGAGACCAGCCTGAGCAAGAGTGAGACGCTGTCTGTACTAAAAATAGAAAAATTAGCCAGGTGTGGTGGCATAAGCCTGTAGTCCCAGTTACTCGGGAGGCTGAGGTAGGAGGATCTCTTGAGCCCAGGAGTTTGAGGTTGCAGTGACCTCTGATTGGCCTGGGCAACCAATCAAGAAACTGTCCCTGAGGAAAAAACAAAAACAAAAAAACAACTCCAAGAAATGAGCCAAGAAGCCATTGTTTCTCACACAGATTTGTCTTGTCTAGGTCTCCTTTTTGGTATTTCATGATGCAGCTTCCTGACAGCTCCCTTTCTGCTTAGATGGGAACTGCCTAGCCCAAGACTGAAGTTCTCACAGCTGCTGTGATAACCAAATCAGCTGTGGACTGTCCTTACATGTTATGGCAGGATGTTAGGACATGCTCAGATTGATGGTTTGTGGCTACAGAAGGAGATAGAACATGTCGTACTAGGTTTATTCCACTTTTCAGTGTGAACAGAGGTGTTCACATTGAAGAGGAAGAGGTGTTCTTTCTGCTAAGTTGGTGGAATGTGACCCTAGAGTTGCTAAGACTTGGGGAGTACCTGCCTGAGAACGAAGCCAACCCAGAGAGATGTCAATATCGTATGAGCACCTAGATCTGGCTGTACCTGAAGGCATCCCTGGACTTATAGTAAATGAGACAATAAATCCCGTATTTTTCCTGAGGCAGGATGAATTTGATCTATATCACTTTTAACTGATATCTTAACACAGTGGGGCATGGGGCACGGAGGGGTCACAGAGAGCTCAGTGGAACAGGCCAAGTGGCTGGGCCACGTCAGCCCCTTCTCTGCCCTCACAGCTGCATTCTTTGAGAATAAGCTTTCTAGATTTTCCTTGTCACCCCAACCACCAGAGGGCTGAGCAGCATGGCTAGCACGGAAGGTGCAGGGGAGGGTCTACCTTTTCATACAAATCCTTCAGCCTGTCCACATCCTTCCTGAGGGTCTCGGCGCCAACCTGGAGTATGTGGAGATCGGTGAGCAAATCCTGCAGGGTCTGCATCGACTGAGGAGGGGGAGAGGAGGAGAAAATATGAAGTTGGCGTGGCTCGGGGAGAAGGCAAGTGAGGTGCGGAAGCTTCCTGGTGACAGCCTTTGTCCCAGGGGTCCCCTTGGCTCTCCCAAGGCGTGGGCTGGAATGGACAAGGAGGCCAGCCAATGAGACTGACGTCAACAGTGCTCTGAGTTCCAAGTGGCCAGGGTGGGAAAGAGGCAATTCTGCATTTGAATCTACTCAGTGACCAGTGGCCACTCATCACGAAGCACCCCACGTCCTTTCCCGCATGACACGTGCCAACCAGGGCAACTACGGAGGGAGAAAGCATAGCTCGTCCCCGGGCGGGAGCCATAGGAGGCTCAGAAGCAGGGGAGACAAGACCGGATTTACATTGTTAAAGGATCCCTCAGCGGCCGGGCTCGGTGGCTCACGCCTGTAATCCTAGCTCTCTGGGAGGCCGAGACGGGCGGATTGCTCAAGGTCAGGAGTTCGAAACCAGCCTGAGCAAGAGCGAGACCCCGTCTCTACTATAATATAAAAGAAATTAATTGGCCAACTAATAATTAGGAAAAATGAGCCGGGCATGGTGGCGCATGCCTGTAGTCCCAGCTACTCGGGAGGCTGAGGCAGGAGGATTGCTTGAGGCCAGAAGTCTGAAACCGGCCTGGGCAACATAGCAAGACCCCATCTCCATTATAAAATAATTTTTAAAAATAATTACATTAAATGTAAATGTATTAAACTTTCAGTTAAAAGGCAGAGATGGGCAGAATGAATAAGAAATCATGATCCAAGTACATGCTGTTTATGAGAGATATATTTTATTTATTTATTTATTTATTTATTTATTTATTTTTGAGACAGAGTCTCACTCTTGCTTGGGCTAGAGTACCGTGGCATCAGCCTAGCTCAAGCAACCTCAAATCCTGGGTTCAAGCAATCTTCCTGCCTCAGACTCCCGAGTAGCGGGACTACAGGCATGCGCCACCTGCCAAGCTAATTTTTTGTATATTTTTTAGTTGGCCAATTAATTTCTTTCTATTTTTAGTAGAGAATGGGGTCTGCCTTTTGCTCAGGCGTGGTCTCGAACTCCTGAGCTCAAATGATCCTCCCGCCTCGGCCTCCCTAGAGTGCTAGATTACAGCGTGAGTCACCTCGCCCGGCCTATTTATTATTTTTAATAGAAACTTCGAGATACAATTCTAAAATCCTTGGAATTCTGAAGTGGTAAGAGTCTTTTTGTTGCTAATGAGTTGACCTATGGCTGGCTGCCAATAGATAGTAGCTTCAGGATGGGGCTGGTCACAGGAAAGACAAAGGCATCATTAGAGGCTAAGATGTTTCAGCCCACCCCCATCTCTGGGGAGGAAGAGGGCTGAATGTTAAATTGATCACCAATGGCCAATGATTTAATCGTGGTGCCTCATAATGAGCCTCCATAAAGCCTCAGAAGAGTAAAGTCTGGATAAGGCTTGGAATAGCTGAGCACAAGGGCTTCCAGAAGGCGAA